AAAACTTCCGGCAATGTTCTGCCATTGTCTCTATTGGCAATGGCACTCTTCTCATTTTCCATAATCCAGGCTTCCTTCCATTTTCTATGTGACCACCGACTTTCCTTACATACTACCTTGGTATCATCCCACACAATGCGATGATCATTGTCAACTACATGTTCTGCCAAAGCTGAGTTTTCCACCTTCCCATTCTTTACACTTGCATGATGTTCTTTTATTCTTGTTCCTAATGCACGACCCGTTTCACCAATATATTTAACATCGGTTTCAACGCTTAGAAATTATTTAATGAAGCCCAAAGATAAGTTACCTCACTTAGATCAAACAGGCGTCGTTTACTCCATCCCTTGCCAGGATTGTGATGTTAAATATATTGGTGAAACGGGTCGTGCATTAGGAACAAGAATAAAGAACATCATGCAAGTGTAAAGAATGGGAAGGTGGAAAACTCAGCTTTGGCAGAACATGTAGTTGACAATGATCATCGCATTGTGTGGGATGATACGGTCCAAGGTCGTATGTAAGGAAAGTCGGTGGTCGCATAGAAAATGGAAGGAAGCCTGGATTATGGAAAATGAGAAGAGTGCCATTGCCAATAGAGACAATGGCAGAACATTGCCGGAAGTTTTTAGAACGCTAATTGATAAAGACTAAATAATGCTTTGTTGACGCTATAATACGCTATTATGACTCTTTTATCCAGTGTCTTGTTATGGCTCTTTTGTTGACTCTATATTACGCTTATATGACTCTATTATGACTCTTTTGTCTTTTAGTCTAATTATTCAAAAAACCTAGTATTTTAGTTAGGTCATTGACATGTAAATAGTATTTAAGCGACTGATCATTTTTGCCATTTTAATCCTGACGATGGACGCTTAGTCCGAAAGCTTGATTTATATTTTACGTTTTTTAAACTGTAAATAAAGATTTTTATCAGTGCAACATACTACCACTACAAATGTATGTATGTCCGAATTTAATTTGTGAGAACAAATAAACAACTTTTCAGAAGCTTTGCAGAACACTGTTTTGAAACATTTGTGTAATGTTCTAAAACTATTAGAAGCTTTATAAAATAGAATGCTTGTTTGTTACATTGTAGCATGAGACGTTTGTGACATTTTGACTTTTCAACATTTTCAGACAGCCATTTTGTTGATTCTCCCCATAATGGCTTTTCAGACAGCCATTCCCGGTTGATTCTCCCCAATTTTGTGCAGAGGGCAGAGATGTTGGCCATCAATTCTACACAACATAAAAACGCACAAGTTGTAACAAACCTGCAGCAGACTTGTAGCAATTCTGTTCCAACAACTTGTCAACAGGATGTGTTCGCACTGCTTGTTACCGGCTTGTTGACAACTTGTTACAAAGTTGTTAAGTTCAATAGACTTGTTACAAGTTGTCCCAACAACTTGATATCGTCCTGCAATTCAACAATTTGTCAACAAAATGTGAGTGACCAATTTGTAGCAACTTGATAAAATAACAGCATTTTTAATACAACTTGTTGACAAGCTTGATACAAGCCTGTTGCGAACATGGCGTAACTCCTTGGGGGGGGGGGGGCGATTTTTGAAAAGAAATAATTGTAGTAAAAAGTTTGATAAATTAACGAAAATATTACTGAAAAGTTGTACAAATTTCAGTAAGTTAATGAAAAATGGTATGTCCGAATATAATACAACCCCCCCCCCCTGCCAACAATTTTGGGAAAAGAAATATTAATTAGCACCTGAAATGTTCGTTGGGCACGACTTCCGCCACGCCCTTTTGGTCAGGCAAAACAAGCTCACCCCCCAGCCGTAATACCCAAGTTACGGCCCTGGTTGCAAACACATGTTGTTGACAAGTTGTGAGATTTTTACGTGTGTAGAGTACCTCGAGGTACGAATATGATCCCCTCGAATACACACGTAAAAACGCACAAGTTGTTACAGGTCTGCAAACAAGTTGTCACAAATCTGTTCACAAGCTAGCTGTTAGCTGTCGACACGTTGTGTTTGCACTACTTGTCCCTAGTTGCTTGTGTGATGTTACTATGAGTCTATGAGTGTATATCCACGACCTTTGGAATTCGTAGGTTCGAATCCCACCGTGGCCAGGCATATTTTCCAAGCCTGCCCGGTGTGAATATACACTCAGAGTAACATCACACAAGCATCTTATTCACCTGAGTACATTACACCAACACAGCAAATTTCATGATTGTCCCTAGTTGTTGCCAAAAAAGTTACTCTTTTTTGTGAATACCATTGGTTCATGGTTCGTATCAAGACGCACAAAAAGACAGAAATGAAATATTTAACTACATGTATAATAACACCAAAGAATCATAGGCTGTGTAATGTTTTAACCGACAGATCGAATGAATTCAACACCCGCACGCGATATTAAAAATGTATTAGTACTGTGAATTTCGCAGTTCGGTTCTGGGAATTCCTAATTCGCTGCATGACGTTGCACAGTCCACGCCAACAGTGCTCAGGCATAGTTTCACCGCAAATTAAGGAGGTCATCACAACACTTGCACGAAGTGGACAGAACCATTACCAAGTCAAAGTTGAATTTACAGAAGAAAGTTTCTCCTATTCACTGAGGTGAGTTAAAACTTTGGTATGGTTGGTCAATACCAACTGTCTAGTTTTCCCTTCATACAAAATCCGCATTGCCCCTTTAATTGGCCGATTTTATAGACTGTGAAAATCAAGCACGTCACTCATCTACGACAAGGTAAGCTTGACTTTACACAGTACAAATAAAGTTGAAAACAGGTTGCATGTAACAGGGCCTTGTACCAATCAGCTGTTCCCGAAATTGTATCTATACTAGTCTGCAACACTTCCTCCCACTATCTGTCCTTTTTCTCAAGAACAATTAACCAGTGGAAGTGAGACTCTGTAGAGCAGTACTCCTTCAAACATTTTTACAAATTGTAACACAGCTGACAATTTCACTGCTGTCTCATTCTAGTAACGTTTAGTATGTTATTGCGACCCTCCGCCGATCTTGGGGATCGCGGGGGCTCTGTTTGTATGTTTGGTCGTCAATAAACGCATATTTTGCAAGGGAAATTTTCTTTGGAGATTGTGCCTACGTGGCGATTGGGCATTCTGGCACTCCCCATCTCCGGTTTCGACTTGGGCCGCTTTTGGTCTTGATAGTTTTCTTTTATTTAACTGTTCATTATCTTGACTTAAATAGTTTATTATTATTCAACTTTTTTTTTGGATTAGCAACATATGTATATTCTGCTAACCCCCAACAAATAATCGTCATGCTGAAGTGGAAGTCGGTCTTGTGCATGATAAATTTGATCCTGTAGAATGGGTCAATGCGCTGTTGCGCTCCTAAGTTGCAATATTGGAAGAAATGTATAATATGGTCTTAACAAGAAATCTTGACAGGCTTTTTTTACCGCATGAGGGCCTCTACAAAGCCCAAATACCAAACTTTAGATAATACGCTATGCTAACACCTAACATATCATTTGCATATCTACCTCTTGCTTGTAATAAATAGTCTGTTTATATTTTATCTAGTTATACATCTAAACAATTTCTTTCATCTAGACCTAGCTTTTGTTGAAACAGTTCTTTCGAACATATTATTATATGAACACGTTGAATTTGTACTTCAGTGGCCAAGAATTCCACTGAAGTCATACATGACATGTCACAATTAAAATCACAGCTTGAACTGCTACTCGCATTGTGTATAAATTGCGTATGTCGACTTCTCGAGCCATATTTTGACATAATTAAAGATAAGTCTGAAACATTTGAAGTTGATCACGTGTACGTATTTTCGAACTTGCGAATAAAAAAATAACTCCAGATCACTGATATCTAGATATATCAGCGTATAAATCATGTAAACCATGAAATAAACCAATAAAACTCATCTTTATATAGTATTCAGCATTCTTTTATATACGTGCATCCTAAATAGTTTTCTTTATATAAAGAATACTAATGAAACGGCATCTATTGTAGTCGTGTTTGAAGTATTCAAAACACTTGTAGTCGTGTTTTATCATATCTATTAAACTCATTTTCATAGGCCTACTTAAATGATAAATTAGTGAAGCGCTCAGGCATTCGAACTAGGTCAACAAGACAATCTGACGACATTAATAGACAACTTGCATGTTAGACAAATTTTTTATCTAGCCGATCTAGGCACAACAAAAGTAACTTCCCGTTAAGAACTTATTAAAATTAGTAAAAGTGCAAAATTTGGTTGCAAAATGTTGTAAAGCTTGGAAAATATAGCCTTGCAAAGTTTGCATATTTTCAGTATATTTGTATTACTTGCGGAAATTGTTACCATTTTTGAGCCGAAAATGGTAACAATTTCCGCTCGTAATACAAATATACTGAAAATTTGCAAACTTTGCAAGGCTATATTTTCTAAGCTTTACAACATTTCGCAACCAAGTTTTGCACTTTTACTAATTTCAGTATGTTCTTTTTAGCTGTTGTGTTTTATCCCCTTTTCTCTGCTTAGATTAAAATTTAGTCTAACATGCAAGTTGTCCATTGAATTAAATGTAGGCCTACACACGTAGCTAAAAACGCATGAGTCTGCAAACAAATTGTTAAGGCTCGTTTACACTTGCAATTTTTGCTGCGATTTCGAGTGCAATTTTCTCTTACTGGTGGATGTGAACGAGTAAATAAGTTATGAATGATCTGAGTACATGTCTCACTGATGTACCCTCGTCTGAACATTCATAACTCATCCACTCGTTCACATCCATCAGACGAAGAAAATCGCACCTAAAGTCGCAGCAAAAATTGCAAGTGTAAACAGGCCTTTACAAATCTCTGTTCACAAGCTGTCGACAAGTTGTCTTCGCACTGCTTGTTCCCAGTTGTTGTAACAAGATTGGAACAAGCTGTTATAAACAACTTGTAACAATCTTGATGGCATTATTACACTTGTTACAAGGTTGTTCTGACAAGTCTGATCATAGTTAATAGAGGAGATGGTTTGGAAACTCGTTAAAGTGCATATGACATGAAATTTCTTATTTTCTTAAACGAAAGAACTCTTTAAGCTGTAGTGTAACTTATTTTTCAGTTTCTTGTTTTTATGGTTTGTTCCCGAGATATTTCAATTTGTTTGATATGTAAATGATGTGAATATGTCCGCTAATTTATGACGTCACGTTGGTTGCAGGCTCAACTTACACTGGTTATAAATCTATTAACTCTAAAAACTGTAGATATCTGTTCACGTTTTTCTACAGTGTTTCATCACATTTACCAGTGAGTGAAGTTTGAAATTATCATCTTGGATGATAGCAATGATATTCAACCATTTTGAAGAGCTTGCAACCAACATGACGTCATAAATTAGCGGACATATTCACACTCATTTACATATCAAATAAATTGAAATATCTCGGGAACAAACCATAAAAACAAGAAACTGAAAAATAAGTTACACTACAGCTTAAAGAGTTCTTTCATTTAAGAAAATAAGAAATTTCATGTCATATGCACTTTAATTTAAATAAAATAAAATCACAATAAAACTCATTATCTATGATGTTCAGGTTTATGCAAAAATGTGGTCTTTCATCGTCACGTGTGTATTGTATTTTTCTCAAGTCAACCAATAGGAATGTTCAAAATGTCTTATTGTTAAAGTCATGGATGGGCAATTGGACAAAACCGTCGCTATTGGCTGGTTGAGCAAAAATACAATACGCACGTGACGATGAAAGACCACATTTTTGCATAAACCTGAACAAAAACATAGATAGTGAGGTTTATTGTAATGCTAATAAGTTTCCAAACCATCTCCTCAATTAACTATGGTCTGATACAGTCATGATATAACAAGAATGTTACAAGGTTGACGACATAAAGTTGAAACAATATTGTTATATCATGACTGTATCGGACTTGCTGGAACAACCTTGCAACAAGTCTGATAATATCAACAAGGTTGTTATAACTGTTAAAAAGTCGTCCCATATTTGTTGAGAACTGGACAAGCAGTGCGAGCACAACTTATTGACGGCTTGTTGGCAGAGTTGCTAATTGTTGTGAGATTTTTGCGTGTGTATAACAAATTCCCAAACTTTCGCCGTAGAACCAGCAGTTTCAAGATGTACAATCAGGGATCAGACCACCAAAAGGCTCCCCCAAACTACCCCCAACCGGACAATCTGGTTTCTCGACATGACCCTGCTCTCCAACGACATGGCAGTGAGGGTGGCTTCTATCCCCCTCCACAGCTGGGCAGGGATTCCTACCCCCCTCCACAGCCAAGTGGGGGTGGCTACCCACCTCCAGATGCCTACCCCTCATTTCCCGTCCACCAACAACCTGGAAACACCGTGCACAACACAAATACAACAGTTGTAATACAACAGCAACCTGCAGCGGTGATTGTCCAGGGACGAGACTGGAGTACTGGAATGTGTGCTTGTTGTGACGACTGTGGAGTTTGTAAGTCAGGGGGGAGAGGGGCGGGTCAAAGGGGAAATGTCCGGGAACTCTGAACTATCAAGGGACCAAACAAAATTGGATCATAATGAAAGTGCCACGTCTGTTCTTCCCGCGTTCCCCAGTGAAAATAGTGGGAGCGGCATTCTTCCCCGGCCCATCTTTCAACCATTTCCCGTTGCGTTTTCTCTTCCAGTGCTGAGATGAATTAATGTTAGACAGAGTAAAATTGTCTGCTGTTAGACGGGATAACATAATCTGGCATTAGACAGTAAAATTATAAAGTAGAGCGCATTGATTGGGGAGCAATGCGATGGGTTAATCGCCTGATTGGAACATTTGAAATGCACAGAAACCTCTGTCAAGGAGAGAGCTTCAGAACCATTGATCACAGGGGGTAAAAAAATACACTAGTTTCCATAAATTCGATTTTGTTTCCAGGTCTTCTTGGCTGGTGTTGCCCGTGCATTCTTCAATGCATGGTCAGTAGTAAAGCTGGTGAGTGTTGTTGTGTCGCAGCCTTGTGTCCAATTGCTCTGAGAACCAAGATCAGGACAAGACATAACATTGTGGTAAGTAATAGCTCTTTCTCGTCTCTACCAGTCTTGTACCCTCAGCTGTTTTGAGTTGCTATGTGTGGCGCCACACAACGGCGTAGCACGCCAAAGCGCCTGGGTATACGAGGCTGGGTCCTCTAGGCAGAACAGTTTGAAACTGATATAGCTATGTAGTATAAATAAAACTGGTTTAGGTTTCCACCTGTAGTCTGGTTACATTTAAACCAGTAAGAGAGATGGGCTGTACTAGTGCTCTAGGGACAACGGTTTCGACCCAGTATAAATATAGTTAATTATTTCATTGCTTATTTCGACAGGGAAGTATTGTGGGGGACTATTATGCACTGCAATGCTGTGCGATCTGTGCATTGTGTCAAATGGCAAGAGAACTCAACCTCCATGGAATTTAACCATCAAATATAAACGACAAACTTTTTATCTTTTAAGACTTTTTGTAATGGAACATTAAGTATTGTTTAGAATGTAATTGTTGATTAGATCATTTGTTGTGCCTATATCAAACGGTAAAACCAACAAACTAATATATGTATGTCGAATTTAATTTGTGAGACTTAAAGTTTTTGTTTTTATATGTTCAAGCAACTTTTCAGAAACTTGGCAGAACACCGTTTTGAAACATTTGTGTAATGTTCTAAAACTATTAGAAGCTTTGTAAAATAGAATGTTTTTTTGTTACATTGTAGCATGGGACGTTTGTGACATTTTGACTTTTCAACATTTTCACTGGACAGCCATTTTTCCAGTTGATTCTCCCAGCCATTTTTCCAGTTGTAGCAATGCTGTTCCAACAACGTATCAACAGGATGTGTTCGCACTGCTTGTTCCCAGCTTGTTGACAATTAGTTGTCAATGACTTGTTGACAACTTGCTGCAAGGTTGCTGAGCTCAACAGACTTGTTACAAGTTGTTCCGACAACTTGCTATCGTCCTGCAATTCAACAATTTGCCAACAAGTTGTGAGTGACAACCTTGTAGCAACTTGATAAAATAACAGCATTGTTATAACTTGATATTTTCTGTGTTGGTGCAATGTACTCAGGTGAATAAGATGCTTGTGATGTTACTCTGAGTGTATATCCACACCGGGCAAGCTTGAAAAATATGCCTGACCACGGTGGGAATCGAACCTACGACCTTTGGAATGCTAGCCCAATGCTCTGCCAACTGAGCTACGTGGTCTGCTCGGTTCGAGTATGTGATATTTCGGAACAGAATCTAGTTCCTTCGATATCAATGTAGTCTAGTAATAATGATATTTTCTGTGTTGGTGCAATGTACTCAGGTGAATAAGATGCTTGTGATGTTACTCTGAGTGTATATCCACACCGGGCAAGCTTGAAAAATATGCCTGACCACGGTGGGAATCGAACCTACGACCTTTGGAATGCTAGATTACATTGATATCGAAGGAACTAGATTCTGTTACGAAATATCACGTACTCGAACCGAGCAGACCACGTAGCTCAGTTGGCAGAGCATTGGGCTAGCATTCCAAAGGTCGTAGGTTCGATTCCCACCGTGGTCAGGCATATTTTTCAAGCTTGCCCGGTGTGGATATACATTGTTATAACTTGTTGACAAACTTGCTACAAGCCTGTTGCAAACACATCTTGTTGACAAGTTATGAGGGTTTTACATGTGGAGTACCGGAAGGTACGAATATCATCTCCTCCAATACACACGTAAAAACGGGTGTAGTTAAAAGGCGGGCGCGGACTGGCAGACGCGGACTGGAGGACGCGGACCGGCGGGAAATTTTTTTTACCAATTTTTTAATTATTGGAAATAAATTTAAATATAAATAAATAAAATAATATTTAAAAAATATTAATATTATTATTAATAATAATATTATATATTATATTAATAATATCATTTTTTCTCTTTCACATCATTTGACCACCATCATCATCACCATCATCAGACCGGCGGACTGGAGGGAAAATGTTTTTACCAATTTTTTAATTATTGGAAATAAATTTAAATATAAATAAATAAAATAATATTAAAAAATATTAATATTATTATTAATAATAATATTATATATTATATTAATAATATCATTTTTTCTCTTTCACATCATGCGACAACCGAATTCAATAATTGTTAAATAATCTCACAATCACGTGTCACGCGTTGACACCAGGATTCGATTTATTATTTATTTATTTATTTATTTATTAACTTTACAATCATACAAAAATTATAAAAATGATTGAAGGTATGGTCAACAGGACATGAGTCCCATGTGAAGACCAACCTGATACAATACAATAGGTAGACATACATTAAAGACAAGGACTAGAACACTATTTACATAGCTATATAAAAATTAATAGTTTAGATTATGAGCAACAGCCTAAGTTGAAAGAACGGCATTTAGAGCAGAAGGTTTTCCAAGTGCGCATTCTGTTAATACCGGGAGAAGAGTCTAATTGAGAAGAGTAGTGAGGGTGAAGCTGGAGCTTAAAGGATGAAACAGACGAACTGTTACGAATGATCGGAGAGAGATTGTTCCATAGAAAGACAATTCGGTTAAAAAACTAGAGTTTCTAAAAAGAGAGGTTTTGCACGGATTGACTTGAAGCAAGTTGTCCTTACTTGAACGGGTGCGAGATGAGCGATTAGAAGAAAAGGTGACAAAAGAGGAGATATCTAGGTCGTAGAGGCCTTATTTGCATTTGAAAAAAAAGATGAGATCCTTTATTTCAAGCCAGTAAGATATAGGCAATAAATTAAGTTTCCTAAGACACTCAAGATAAGATAACTCATAATTTTGAAGTATAAATTTAGTAGCTCGTCTCTGAACACCCTCCAGGATCGCAAGATCGCGTGACGAGGCTTGGGGTGCCCAGATCTCACTGGCGTAAGACATGTGTCGTGAGATCGGACGAGTGAGAGATAGAGAAGCCGACGGCAGCGAGTATCAGTCATTTGAGAACAAAATAATGAAGAATCTGTTCCGATTCATTCATACAGATATTTTAAAAGGAAAACGTCCAAACACATTGTATTCGCTTAGTTATTCAGCAGATATATTCTTGACTTAGTGGGTACTTTAACTTTCGGTAACAATTATTGTTTCGGTAACACGAATTAGAGAGATGCTGACACAAGTTCACATTTTGCATCTAAGAGAGTTTGGTTTACTAGTTTAGAAAGTTATTTATGCAACAATTATCGAAAACGCAAGTGGTTTTTCCGGTTTCCATGTATAAAGTTCTGATTATTGATACAATATTTTTTTAAATTATTAAAGGACCATTGTTACGTTATGTATTGTCTATATTTTCCCAACATGAGAGCGCTTATATGACACCCTCGTTTTAATCCAACCAGCTGTTTCGTATCTCTTCAAGAGGGTCCTGAAGGGGGGGTCCCAATCCCATTTCCCACCTGAAATTTTGGCAAAATCCCAGTCCCAGTTGGATTTTTATTAGAAATCCCAGTCCCAGTTATTGAAATCCCAGTCAATAAAAAACCCTTTATTTATCGGTAGAATAAACAGTTTTAAGACCTTTTAAGCATGTGGCGGACACTTTATGAAATATTAGGGGGGGGGGGGCTCGTGCCGAAGGCACGGAAAATTTTTAAATTTGAATCCCGGAAATGGCATTTGCAGCATTCTGAGACGCGCATAATCAGAAAACCCAGAATTCCGGGTGCCAGAGTATGCCTGTTCTCAAGTAGTGCTGTGAATAATATAGTTAACAACAAAAATCATGACCAAAGACACCAAAAACGCATCAAAATTGTATTTTAAAATACTCAAAACGCAGAAAAATTGGGAATCGACTCGCATTACCTCAATCCCATTCCCATTTTTGAGGACTTCATTTCCCATTCCCAGTGGCCAAATCCCAGTCCCAGCAACCCAAATCCCATTTTCCCAGTCTAAAAATAGATCAATCCCAGTTCCCATTTTACCCCTTCAGGACCCTCCTTCAAGGTGATAATTGTACATTAGTTGAAAGTCAGTAATAACACAGAAACGTAATCAGTCTGTTCATGCGCTGCGTTAACCGTATAAAAACAGCTGTAGGCAAAGTACAAAAACGACGAAAGTTGCAAATGATTGGGCCATTGGTACAGGGCTTCAACTTACATATTTTCTCAGTTAATTGGTAGCATTCATGCACTTCCAGATGAATGCGCATTATAGTTAACAGTAGTTTAAAAATTACAATCTTTTATTCAAAATTTTACATATTCTATTCGTATCTATTCCATCCTCCCCACACTGAATGCCACTGAAAGGAAAGCTGGTTTTCGTAAGATCTTAATCATCACGACCATCAACATCCAAATTATCGTGATGCTTTTGACAGCCACTTTTTACCGCGCATCAGTTTTCTTTCCGGTCTTCAATCGACTGCACGCAGACTGGCACTCGTGTAGGAAACTACTGCCCGTCGCCCAGACAATAATAATAAGAAACACAGCAAATCACAGTTTAAAATCACAATTTCTCTCTCAAATATTCTCACAAGTAAAACTACAAAATTCCCGATCCCAATAACAAATATATTCCCCCATAAAGCACATGTAAATAGTCTCTGTCTATTGGCTAAACCAAACAATGAATTAGCGCCGTCACTTCCGGTGAATTAGTAATTAGGTTAGTATAATAAACATGAACTATATTATTTATGTTAGTTGATTAGTATAGCGTCTGCTGTTAATGTTTACATTAGTTCCGACACACTCCCCCCATACATCTTTTCTAATGAGATGTATGCAACAAAAGGAACTAATGTCCCAATCTCTTGTTCAAAATCTCTCGTTCAATCTCTCGTTCAATCTATCGTTCAATCTATCGTTCAATCTATCACCGTCTCCTCTTCCTCCGCAAGTACTTTATTGATCTTCGCTGCTGCATTCTCTGCCGCTTTCCTTTTAGGTCTGAATTCTTTCGCTTGTGCATTAAGTGGTGGAGTTTCCCGTTCGACAGCCTCTTGGTCGCAATGAAGTTCCAAAGGGTAAATTAGTTGCAACAGTCGCTCCAGTCTTCCATTCCCCGTTTGTAGCTCTGCGCCTCGCACCACTCCGTCTCTGCCGGTAATAAGTCGGACGATCTTTCCCAGTTTCCAGGTATTTCTATTCTTGTTTTCTCCCTTAACAATGACAACATCTCCTACATTTGGGCATTCTGCTTTAGATCCACGAACAATTTTATGTCTCTCCCTTAGTCCTGTGAGATACTCTCGTGTCCAGCGGTTCCATATAGTCCATCTTTCGTTGTACAAAGGAACCTAAGACGTTTCTTCAGGTCACGCTCTTTTAATTGATGAGGTTGTAGCTCTGGTACTGCTGTTGGTTGTTGGAACAGAAACGATTGGGTTCACCTTCTTTCCCAACTCGCGGACAACTCTCGGTTTTTATTCTGGCATACTCCCCCCCTCCAAGAACGACATGCACTGGTAACTGGGGCTTTGCATCATCATCATGAATATGCACTCCTTTAAGATGGGGGTAGGTATCAACTTGGACCTTATAGCGTGGGTTGTCAATTGACAAGAGTTCACTCTTATTTACCTTGATTAAGTCCACTTGCATGCTGAAGTCCCCATCAATTGACCGTATCTCCGTTTCGTATGTCTCGAGGCGTTCCAACTTACTACTCAAAAGCATATCAATTTGTTTCATTTTCACATCAACAGGTTTTTTATTCAGGAGACTAACCAGTTTAGCTGAAACGTATGAGCTGCCAGCTCCCGAATCCACAAGGGCTCTGCAGGTTACCCCATTCACCTTCACCGTCACAATTGGAAATGTTCCTTCGCCATTCTTTGCAGTCATGAGGTTATTCCTTTCCTTCGGTTGGTTGCAGACTGATGTATGGTGTCGCCGTTCGCAGTTCTGACATGCTATCTTGCTTGTACAACTCGCCGCTTGATGACCTTCGCCCGTGCAGTTGAAACAAAGTCGCCGTTTGGCCAGTACTGACTTTCTTTCCTTGGTATCGACAACTTTGGGACAGTCAGTCGACTTGTGCTCCTTTGCATCACAATAAACACACCCTCGCGCACCCAGCTTTGTATTGAATACCTTGTTGTCACGGTTTCGTGGACGAGTGTCTTTCTTTATCGAATCATTGATGGGATTTCGTCGAGTCCACAACTTTAGGGCCTCAGTCAGTTTGTTGTAGTCCCAGTCCTCCCATTCCGGGTGGGTCCGAACCAAATCGCTTCGTATTCCAGCTAACTTATCCAATGTCATTGCAACGTTACCATTTATTTGTTCTAGCTTCCCCATTGTTTCTAATGACTGAACACAATAGGAAAGTTTCTCACTAAATTCGTGAACTTTCCCAACGTTTGCATCCGAGATGTAAGGTAAATCCAAAATTTGCTTAGTGTACGCTTTGACAATTTCAGACTCTTTCCCATACTTCGACTGGAGAATACTTTTCGCACGATTATAGCCTTCATTCGTGAAGGGCAGGGCTTCGATAGTTGGTTTGACTTTTTTATCCAATAACTCTCTTAAGTACGAAAACTTTGTCACACTCGATACGCTTGACTTGTCGATTGTCTCTCGAAATTGGTTCCAAAATCGTTGCCAATCTTTGTAGGTTCCATTGAATTTTGTTATTACTAACTTTGGTAGCTTCGCTTCGAGCCCAGAACTTGACATGGAACTCGATGTTTCTCCCCCGATTTGTTGTTGCTTGGTTTCCTCTAACTGGGTTTTATAATGTAGCTTAGCTTCGTATAATTCCTTTTCGAAATCTAGTTGCTCTTTTCTACTTTTAGCTGTAGTATGTTCCTTGGTTTTAATGATCCACTTTTGTAACGTATCCAAGTCGATGTCAGCCTGGCCGATGGTATTTTCTATCTTTTCACCCCACTCTGTAATACTCTCAATATCTTCGCCATTTGCAATTTTTAATCCCTCTACTGTTCGTTTAGAACTATCTGCAGCATTTACCAGATCCTTTAAAGCATCACGATGTCTTTCTATGCGTTGTTCGTTGTTCGAAGAGATAATTTTCTCGGTTTTCTCTCGAGTTATCGCGATATGTTTCAATCAGGGCGCTTATATAGAGGGCGGTGAAACGCGCTAATGTCGTGCTGATCGATGTGTGATGCGGAAAAGGACTGGCACGAGCGTGCTTTTCGGCAAAAGTTGACAAGGAGCGTGATTTTTCCTGCTGTTGTATTTTTGCTGTTTTTTCATTAACTACGAAATTCTTGAGGATGTTTTTGCACTGTAACGACGAAGTAGTAACTAGTGTATCGTACGAATGCTTGTTTGGCCTGTATAGTTGAATTTTGAAAGAAATATTGAGGATAATGAGTCGGGCTTTTGATGACTTCAATGAAGGGAAATTTTCAAAACAGCATTTGGGCATGTTATCAAGTCGTCCAAACTTCGAAATTCAGTTGATGGTAAAGATTATAATTATGTGCTTATCTCCAAAAGTTTTCATAAGACTCGGAGTTGAGCAATTGAATACACAGCGTTGGAAAGTGAGGTATTTTTGTGTGTTAAATTTTGCCTAATTAGACCATTATTTCGCTGCAAAAAAATAAACAACAATTGTATTTTGGCCATGTCGTGATTTTTGGTTATTATGTTAATAATTTTGTACGACTTTTAAGGCATTCAATTGAAGTAATTCTGAGCCGTAAACATATTTTACTTCTTGGCCTTTGAATCAAAATACGACTCGCTCGGACGTTTGTTGAGCGCAATAGTCGAAAAAGTTTCGTCCCAACTTTGATTTTTTTTGACCGGCTGGCCAAGACAACTTCTCGTAAGGATTCGTTAAAAAAATACAAATTCAAGTTGAGCATTTCTTGATTTTCAACTGAAAAGATCAACTAGTGGCTAAAATTAATTGTGAATTGTATTCTATCGAACGTGAACGATACGTGTACATACGAAGAGTTTTAAAAACCTTTCACGTCATGCTTCTTGCGAAAGCAACCGTTCGTAAGCTTTCGCAAGCGTTTTGAGCAAAAACTCTAAAATATTGGCAGTATTACCTGAAAATACAATAGCAGAATCTACTAAATTATCGTATAACATCGGAATTTTACCCCCAATATCTATTTCTTCATCAAAACTTGACTACAAAACAGTCAAAACTTCCAGCTCAGTTTTCCCGCCATATTTATCCTTGCCATATAAGACAACGTCGCCATAGTAACCACAACAAACTCGTTACCAGTTCATTGCATCACACATCGATCGGCGCGCCTATAGCCGTTTCACCGCCCTCTATATAAGCGCCCTGGTTTCAATTTTGTCTCGAGCGCTTGCTGTGCTTCGTCGAGTTCAGTTGGTTTTGTAGCCATCGAAAACTGCGAATTCTTGCTCTTGTTCGAGCGTTTACACAAATATCTCGTCGCGAGGTGCCACGTGTAGGAAACTACTGCCCGTCGCCCAGACAATAATAATAAGAAACACAGCAAATCACAGTTTAAAATCACAATTTCTCTCTCAAATATTCTCACAAGTAAAACTACAAAATTCCCGATCCCAATAACAAATATATTCCCCCATAAAGCACATGTAAATAGTCTCTGTCTATTGGCTAACCCAAACAATGAATTAGCGCCGTCACTTCCGGTGAATTAGTAATTAGGTTAATATAATAAACATGAACTATATTATTTATGTTAGTTGATTAGTATAGCGTCTGCTGTTAATGTTTACATTAGTTCCGACACACTCGTACACTAATAGAATACATTTAAAGCTTGTTATGTAGTTCGCCATAATACTATTACAGTGTTACCGAAAGTTAAAGTACCCACTAAGTCGAGAATATATCTGCTGAATAACTAAGCGAATACAATGTGTTTGGACGTTTTCCTTTTAAAATATTTGATCCTGTATGAATGAATCGAATCCTGGTGTCAACGCGTGACACGGTGATTGCGAGATTATTTAACAATTATTGAATTCGGTTGTCGCATGATGTGAAGGAGAAAAAATGATTTTATTAATATAATATATAATATTATTATTAATCACATAGGTGATTATCGAAAATTCTCCACGCTGATTGGTTGCCGTTGAAGTGATTATAACGCAATGATCACCTAAGCGATTTTCGAAATGGCGGCCGAAGCCGTTTTGTCAATTAAATGACGAAGAAATGTGTATTTTTTATTTTTTTCCAAATAATCACCTATGAAATTATACTAAAACAATTATTCACCTCGAGCTTGGTGAATAAAAACCTAGACTTCATCTCGGTTTTTATTCACCGATAATCACCTCGCCTTCGGCGAATAATTGTTAATTATTATTAATAATAATATTAATATTTTTTAAATATTATTTTATTTATTTATATTTAAATTTATTTCCAATAATTAAAAAATTGGTAAAAAAAATTTCCCGCCAGTCCGCCGGTCCGCGTCCGCCAGTCCGCGCCCGCCTTTTAACTACACCCACGTAAAAACGCACAAGTAGTTCCAGGTCTGCAAACAAGTTGTCACAAATCTGTTCACAAGCTGTCAACAAGATGTGTTCGCTCTGCTAGTTGTTGTAACAAGTTTGGGACAAGCTATTAACAACTTGGAACAAGCTTGATGACATTATCAGACTTGTTACATGTTTGTTCTAACAAGTCTGATACAGTCATGATATAACAAGAATGTCACAAGGGGTATTCGCAACAGGCTTAATTCTAGCAAGCTTGTCAACAAGTTGTAACAATGCTGTCAACAACTTGTAATAAGCTTGATCGCATTATCAGACTTGCAGCAAATTAAGTTGTTCTAACAAGTCTGATACAGTCATGATATAACAAGAATGTTACAAGGTTGATGACAGAAGGTTGCAACAATATTGTTATACCGTGACTGTATCAGACTTGTTGGAACAACCTTGCAACAAGTACGATGGAATCAACAAGGTTGTTACAAGTTGTTAACAGCTTGTTCCAAACTTGTTGACAGCTTGGTTCAAGCAGTGCATGCAAACACAACTTGTTGACGGCTTGTTGGCAAACTTGTTACACGCGTAAAAATCTCACATATGTAGCAAGTTTGCCAACAAGCCGTCAACAAGTTGTGTTCGCACTGCTTGTCCCAGGTTGTCAACAAGTTTGGAACAAGCTGTTAACAGTCTATAACAACCTTGTTGATATTAACAGTTGATATTACAACCTTGTGTCATTTGTAACATTCTTGTTATATCATGACTGTATCAGACTTGTTCGAACAACCTTGTAACAAGCCTGATAATTTATTAATTTTTAGAGAGTTAATAAATTATCAGGCTTGTTATTGTTACAACAACTGGGAAAAAATAGACTTGCCCCAAGTCTCTCTCCGTGGGTTTTGATAGGGTATATCCAGTTTATTATGAGATCAGTTCTCAAAATAAACTGGATATCGGCCTATCAAAACCCACGGGGAGAGACTTGGGGCAAGTCTAGGGAAAAACTAGCCTGCCCTACTTCCTTTGGAGTCTGGGACTGCACGCAGGCTAGGGAAAAAGCAGTGCGAACACAACTTGTCGACAGCTTGTGAACAGACCTGTAACAACTTGTGCGTTTTAACGTGGGTAGTTTGGCTTTTATCTAAACATTTTCGCCATATTAAACAGTATTAATTATTAAAAGTTCGAATGTTTTGGTCAAATATTTAACACGCCTAGCTATTGGACTGCCTATATTCCTTTACGCTAAACACATGCATGGTGATCAACCAGCTGGCGGCATTTTTAAAAAGACAAACATGCACGGTCCCCCCAAAGGGGACCTTTGCGCCCTCCCCTGATTGTCGCAAAACTGTCACAACGCTGTCGTTTTTCTGTTCCCATTAAAACTAACCGTCACGAAACGTTTTTAGCCTGTCGCAACTGTCGTTTACATAGAATTCGAGCCTATCTCGACAAAAACTGTCGTGAACTGTCGTCAGCGTGTCGCGACAAGACGTTTCCATATTGGTCGTAATGGTCGTAAAAATAGTCACGATCTTTCTCAACGGCCAGTTTATATAGAGAATAATACATGGGGTGCACGGAAATACCAGATTTATTTAACACGAGAAATAAATCTCGTATTTCCAAGAACCCATGTATTTTTCTGTTTATTATATAAAGGACAGTCTTTGAAAAGCGATAAGTTTTACAGAAAAGTGATAATTGAAAAGCGATAATTTTCGCATGTGAGATTATCATGAATAATTCTCTTTTATCAGTGCTCGAAATCTCTATAAAGCTCTATACTTTATATAATAAAATATTTTATACCTGTAAACGTTTATAACCACATACAAATCATAAGTATTCTCTAGTTCATTCCGCGTATTTTCGCTTCTAAAATGTTGTATTTCGGCTGATGAGAAAGATCGTGACTCAATCTTTACGACCGTTACCATCATTACTAGTAACCATTACGACCATATGCAAACCAGGCTGTATTCTGACGACAGTTGCAACACGTTCGCAACAGTTTCGACCATAAGGAAACCAAACTTATTCTGACAACAGTTACAACACGTTCGCAACAGTTACGACCACTATGGAAACCAGGCTTAATTCAACACCCGTACGCGATATTTCAACTTTATCACTACTGTGAATTCCACAGTTCAGTTCTGAGAATTCCTAATTCACTGCATGACGCCAACAGCGCTCAGGCATAGTTTCACCGCGAAGGAATTACAACACTTACTTGCGCATGCCCGAAGTGCACAGAATCATTACCAAGTCAAAGTCGGATTTACAGAAGAAATTTTCTCGTGTCCACTGAGGGGAGTTAAAATTGAAGTGTACTAACAAAAATGTAAGTTATGTATAACATTGTACATATACTTTGGTATGCATGTTGGTAAATACTACTACTGCGCTGTCTAGCTTTCCCTTTCGATATACACACAACAACCTCTTCGTCCCAACCTGCTTACAAGACTTACAACTTGAATCGTACTGTGTAAATCAAGCACAGAGCTCATCTACGACAACGTAAGCGCGTTGTGTACTTGATTTCACAAAGTTTTAAAACGGGTTGCATGCGACAGATTTGGGCAAAAGACGGAATCCAAAAGTTGTGTAGTGGAAATCGCGGCCTTGTTGTCAATGCGCTTCTAACTTTGCAATATTGGAAGAAATGGATACTGGCTTTTTTACCCGCATAAGGACCTCTACTCGTGTGCCGTGTTGAAGAACGTCGTGTTCATATAATAATCTGTTCGAAATAACTGTTTCAACAAATGGAGTCAGTGAAGTAAATTGTTTAGTCTTTAGATGTATGAGTAGATAAAATATATACAGGCTATTTATTACAAGCATAAGGTAGATATTGCAAATGATATGTTTGGTTAACGCATAGCATAATCTAAAGTTTGGTATTTTGGTTGGTTGACGTCTTTGTGCTTCAGTGGCCGAGAATTATATTCTAACTATTAAAATCACAGCGCTGTGCCGCTCGCATTGTGTATAAATTACGTATGATACTACGTGGAGCGATTAAATTACGGCCATATTTAATTGACATACTGTGATTAAATAAGCCTGAAACATTTGAAGTTGATCACGTGCACGTATTTTCGAACTTGCGAATTTTCGAACAGCCAGCAAGTCTGCCAACAAGCCGCAGCTTGATTAATAATTATTATAAAACTTTGTAATAGCTTGTATATGTTGTAGCCTAATATTTTAATTATAAATGTTGTAATTCTTTTTAGGCAGCGTTTACACTGTACCGTTTTCGTAGCGTTCTCGTATTGTTCGAGAGAACTAGACTATTGTCTTGCGTTCCCTTGAGGATTAAGAACAATACGAGAACGCTACGAAAACGGTACAGTGTAAACGCTGCCTAAAACACACGGCCCTTTGAAAATCACACAAGTGAAAGGCTACCGTGTTTAAATATCTTTAAATAATAATAATAATAATAATAATAATAATAACTAATAGAATTATATACAGCTATTTCAATTAAGGTTGTCCCCCGAGCAAAGCGGAAAAGTCGAATACGAGCGCGAAAGGCTGCTGGGAATCGCTAATAAATTCATTCATTTATTAGCAATTCCCAGCAGTTTTTCGCGCTCGTATTCGACTTTTCCGCTCTGCTCGGGGGACAACCTTAATTGAAATAGCTGTATACACACGTAAAAATCTCGCATCTTGTAACAAGTCTGCCAACAAGCCGTCAACAAGATGTATTCGCACTGCTTGTCACAAGTTGTCAATAGGTTTGGAACAACTTCTTGACAACTTGTAACAACCTTGTCGAAATTATCAGACTTGTTGCAAGGTTGTTCTGACAAGTCCGTTACATGCTTGGTATAACATGATTATTACAACCTTGCGTTGACAACCTTGTAACATCCTTGTTATATCATGGCTGTAACAAATTTTGTTGGCATAGTCTTGTAACAAGGCTGATAATGCCATCAAGCTTGTTACAAGTTGTTAACAGCTTGTTCCAAACTTGTTACAACAAACTGGGAACAAGCAGTGCGAACACATCCTGTTGACAAGTTGTTGTAACAGGATTGCTATACAAGTTTGCTGCAGGTTTGTTACAACTTGTGCGTTTTTACTTGTGTAAACCTAGATATATCTATTATTTCTATGGTATTTTCGAACTAACTATAACGTTTATTTTAAGTAATTTTATACGAAATTTGCTGTAATTTGATGTATAGAGGCTAGATATATAGCATTAGTTTTAATCATTAAAAAGACTATATTGTATTATTGTATAGTCAGATACATTTTTTGTCAATCAGTTCTAATTAATTAATTAATTAATTAATTAATTAATTAATTAATTAATTAATTAATTAATTAATTAATTAATTAAACGTCAATTTGAGAAACAAAATTGAATTTTTAAAACTAGACGTTTTTGTTGCAAAAACCAGTGCCTCAAAATCTCTTAAGTTGATAATTATTGTAAATCTGCATAGCAAACATTTTTTTCATACGTTTTTATTAAAAATATTTAAATTAGCATAACTTTTTATGAAATGAACCTGTAACTTTTGTCATGCAAAGCCAGAGTGACTGAAAATGCAAATAACATTCCTGCTTTTTGGCCACAAAGTCTCATAAATTACCTTGCTGTCAAAACCGATTAAAAAACCCAGAAAAAGCAAATAAAGGATTCTCTCTTCGGCTTAATTTTGCTCAAAACAAGTACGTGAATCTTCATATGAATAGCGAGCATAAACTAAATTGCCGACAAATTCACCGAAATTAGTCTGAACTAAAGATTAACTATAAATATAACTTGTGCTTCGAAAACGCCGGGAAGACTTGAAAAACACTTCAAAACGTATACAGTTGTTGGATTCAAGTTATAGGTATGGTTTTCATATATAATTCAATAAATGCGAAATGTGCAAACACATGCAACAGATTATGCCAGTTTATATAGGTAATGCTGTAGGGATCTATATAACAATTAACTACCTCAAACATACAAGCCATGCAAGGGCAAGAAGAACTTCGACGTTGTATCATATTTCATAGATTTGGTCTCTTGCACTTCACTTGGTGGAATTAATATTAGAATGTTACGGTTTGTAATCCAAGTGAGTATATATACATTTTAAGACCTAACCAGTACAAAATCGCAGGGTCATAGGTTCAATTCCTACCTGAGGACCTTGTGCTGCATTTTTCGCAGTCGTTCCTGGTTAGGTCTTAAAATGTATATATAGTATATACTCACTTGGATTACAAACCCTAACATTCTAATATCATATTTCATACTTGTATCCCTATATCAATCTCGGCAACTTTCTTATAGCAAACAAACCTATAAAACTATAAACCTGTAAATGCCAAATGACTGGTAGATTTAGAATTTGGTATAGTATAGAAATGAGTGTTCCAACTATGTTTTTAATATGACATATGCGTATTTGCAGTGAAAAACTCAAAACCTATTAAAAATCTTTTTGGAGTTCTTATCAAAATTACTTTATTTTAGCTTTATTTTGTAGTTCACACACAGTTACCTATACCCTCTTAAATGTATCTGGCGGTTGAGAAACACAAAATAATAGTTAAATATTGTCAATTTAAATACAATTATCATATTGTCGTTGATGCTGTAAAATTGACGCCGTATTTATGCCGAGTATGAAGAGATCCGACAGATGGTTCTTGATGACAAAACGTTTGGTGTGGTGTTGTATGTACTAATCCACACCTTTCAACGTGTCTCCCAATGTCTCGCTGTTTAGGGATGCTCAGACTTGTTGGAACAACCTTGCAACATGTCTGATAATTAATTAATATCAACAAGGCATATTTGTTGACAACTTAGCTTGGGACAAGTACTGCGAGCACAACTTGTTGACGGCTTGTTGACAGAGTTGCTACAAGATGCGAGATTTTTGCGTGTGTATAACAAATTCCCAAACTTCCGCTATAGAACCAACAGTTTCAAGATGTACAATCAGGGATCGGATCAAGAGAAAATCGATATAAGCTCTGAAATTGCTCCAACGTCCCCACCTGGGTACCCAGCACTCCAACAACAGCCAAGTGATGGTGGCTTCTACCCCCCCTCCACAGCCAAGTGGGGGTGCCTACCCTTCTCCACAGCCAAGTGGGGGTGGCTATCCACCTCCAGGTGCCTACCCCTCATATCCCGTCCAGCAACAACCAACAAGCACCATGCACAACATGACGAATACAACAGTTGTAATACAACAGCAACCTGCAGCGGTGATTGTCCAGGGACCACGAGACTGGAGCACTGGAATGTGTGCTTGTTTTGACGACTGTGGAGTTTGTAAGTCAGGGGGGAGAGGGACGGGTCAAAAGGGGGATGTCGGCAAACTCTGAACTATCAAAAGACCATAGATATCTTATATACACTAGATAGCGCATCTCTTTTAGTAAAATTAAAGCCAAGAATATTCCAGCGGTTACCTCCATTTGAATAGATGGCGGCCATGTTGAAGTTTCCCACTTGCTAATAAACGCTTAAAAAACAACAATAACTTTCATCATTTGAACAGTTTGAAAATGTATTTGGAATGGGTTTAACTTAATGTTTAAGTTCCCTGTTTAAGAAATAGAAAACATGCGAATCTTCTCATTTCATGGGAATATCCTGAGTCTGCAATCACGGCTTCAATGTTTGAATTTCAGAATAATTAGATGCACTATCTAGTGTATATAAGATATCTATGCTCTGAACTATCAAAAGACCAAACAAAATTGCATCATAGTAGAAGTGCCACGTCTGTTCTTCCGTTCCCCCCCAGAAAAAATTCCCCAGCCCATCTTGCAACCATTCCCCATTACGTCTTCTCTTCCAGTGCTGAGGTGAATTAATGTTAGAAAGAGTAAATTTGTCTGCTGTTAGACAGACTGTAAAATAATCTGGCATTAGACAGTAAAATTATGAAGTAGGGCGCATTGCCTGGGGCGTAATGCGACTCAATGGGTTAATCACATGATACAGGTAGGAAATTTGAAATGTACAGAAACCTTTGTCAAGGAGAGAGCCTCAGAACCATTGACACAGGGGGCAAAAAATAATCATCTTAATCGTACCCAAATGTAAGATTTGTACATATATTCTGATAACTGAATTGTCTGCTGCATGAAGCTACTGCTAAGTGAAACTTGCTACACGAACAGCCTCAACCTTCTACATAATGTCGTACTAGTTCCCATAAGTTCGATTTTGATTTTTAGGTCTGCTTGGCCTGTGCTGCCCGTGTATTCTTCTATGCACCGTGAGTAGCAATGCTGGTGAGTGTTGCTGTGTCGCAGCCTTGTGTCCAATTGCCCTGAGAACCAAGATCAGGACAAGACATAACATTGCGGTAAGTGATGGCTCTTTCCCGTCTCTATATAGCAGTCTCGTACCCTCAGCTGCTTTGAATTGCTATGTGTTGCGTCACACCAACAACGGCGTGGCACGCTAAAGCACCTGGGTATATTAAGCTGGGTCCTCTAGGCAGAGCAGTTTAGAACTGATATAGCTATGTAGTATAAATAAAACTGGTTTAGGTTTCCACCTGTAGTCTGCTTACATTTAGACCAGTGAGAGTGATGGGTTGTACTAGTGTTCTAGGGAGAACGGTTTAGATCCAGTATAAATATAGTTAGTTAATTATTTCATTGTTTATTTCGACAGGGAAGTATTGTGGGGGACTATTATGCACTGCAATGCTGTGGGCTCTGTGCAATGTGTCAAATGGCAAGAGAACTCAACCTCCATGGAATTTAACCATCAAATATAAACGACAAACTTTTTATCTTTTAAATTTTTTTGTAATGGAACATCAAGTATTGTTTATAATCTAAAATTGTAAGTACTAGTTAAAACATGAGCAGCCGAACTTTATCTGATATACAAACTCGAGAGAGTTTGTTTTTTAGATAAAGATCGGATGCGAATGTTTAATATGCTTAAAAATCAAAGCTGAAGTTTATGAAAATTAAGTCAAATCTTTATCCGATTTACAAACATTGATTAAACATTAATTTATTTTGTATTTACTTGAATTATTAATAAGTTTTTTAATTGTTGATAAGATAATTTGTTGTGCCCATATCAAATGGTGAAACCAACAAACAAACAAATGTATGTATGTCAAATTTCATTTGTGAGACTTGCCAGAGAATATTTTTTCTGTATTCAAGAAACTTTTCAGAAGCTTTGCAGAACACCATTTTGGAACATTTGTATATTGTTCTAAAACTATTAGAATGTTTGTTTGTTACATTGTGGCATGGGACGTTTGTGACATTTTGACTTTTCAACAATTTCAGCCAGTTGATTCTCCCCAATGTAGAGTACAAAGATGTTGGCCATCAATTTTACACAACGTATAAGCGCACAAGTTGTAACAAAGCTACAGCAGATTTGTAGCAATGCTGTTCCAACAACTTGTCAACAGGATGTGTTCGCACTGCTTAATTCCCAGTTTGTTGACAAGTTCTCAACGACTTGTTGACAACCTGTTACAAGGCTAGGTTGTTGAGCTCAACAGACTTGTCACAAGTTGTTTAAACAACGTGCTATCGTCCTGCAATTCAACAATTTGTCAACAAGTTGTGAGTGACAACCTTGTAGCAACTTGATAAAATAACAGCGTTGTTACAACTTGTTGACAAGCTTGCTACAAGCCTGTTGCGAACACATCTTGTTGACAAGTTGTAAGATTTTTGCACGTGTAACAAATAATCACCTCGGTATCATACTGCATACATAAGTCAAATATGGCTCGAAAAGTCCGTAATCCCTCCACGTAGAGGCATAATAATCATGCGCAATTTATACGCAATGCGAGCAGCACTTCAAGCTGAAATGTCATGACTTTGGAATTCTTGGCCACTGGAGCACAAAGTCAAAATCTATGCAATCACCAAACATTATAATAAAGGGTTATTAACCGAGAGCGAGGTCTGTACGGGAAAGTATTTGCCAGATGTTTTCGTATTTAAGGTATATTTCGTATTTAAGATATTAAAGTATTTGCCAGATAAACCGAAGGCAAATACTCTCCCGTACAGACCGAACAAAACGAGGTTAATAAACCGTTTATTATATGGCTCCTTAAACACATTTTCTGATTTTCATATATTTGTTTGAGCGCTATAAAGGTATTTTGAGCGAGCTATGTTTTATTTGCTAGTTTTCTTCGTTTAGATTTGGTTTTGTCACCGAATATTGTTTACGGAAAAGCATGTTTAACAATCGCTTTAGAACTACTTTTTCGGTAACCCCCACCCCCAGAAAAAATGCTTATAAACCCAGTTTATATGATATTTTTTTAGAATATGGTATTAAAGATTACTTCTTCCAAGACTTCTTATTATCAAAAATGATCCAAGGATACATTTTCTTCACATAACGACCTTATAAACGTGTAAAAACGTTTCAAATTCGAGTCTGTCAAATTGACATACGGGAAACCTGTCCGGATACGGGAAAATACGGACCACAGACCACAGTCCTGAAACGCATTTTACGGACCGCACGTATATAATATTAAATTTGCCATATTTAATATGCGTATATAATAATTTGCCATATAATAATTTGCAATATTTAATTTTAAATCTAATTATCTCCCTTCGACAACGGGTGGAAGCAACTATAGTAATTTTATACGAAGTTTGTTTTAATTTGATGTTAAGGTTTTTGTCTAATTATAATCAAACGTGACTCGTCAGTTGGGAAACAAAATTGAATTTTTAAAACTGAGTTTTTAAAATTGAGTTTTTGTCCCCAAATTGTTTTGAAGCACTATCTCTTATTATTGTAAAACTGAGTAAAAACATTTCTTTTCATATGTTTTTGCTAAAAATAATTAGCATAACTTTTTATGAAACGAACGTGCAACTTTTGTCATGCAAAGTGACTGAAAATGCAAATAACATTGCCATATTGCTGTCAAAAATAATTAAAAAACCCAGAAAAAACAAATAAGGGATTCTCTCTTCGGCTTATTAATTTTCATATGAATAGCGAAACCAAGTTACCGAGAAATTCACCGAAATTAGTCTAAAGATTAACTATATCGGTATAAATGTAACTTGTGGAAATTTTATACGACTCGAAAACGCCGGGAGGACTTGAAAAACACTTCAAAACAAATTACACAGTTATTGGATTCATAAGTTATAATATAGGTATGGTTTTAATTTCATACTCATAAATAAATGCGAAATGTGCAAACAAATTAACGGTTTGTGCCAGTGACAGTGTTGGTACTGCTAATAACAAGAAAGTTTTATGTTTGTGATGTTACTCTGAGTGTATATCCACACCGGGCAGGCTTGAAAAATATGCCTGCATATTTCGTTCGATTCCCATGCACTGATTAGGTTCGCCCATTCCCACCGTGGCCAGCCATTTTCAAGTCTGTCCGGTGTGGATATACACTCAGAGTAACATCACAAGCATCTTATTCACCTGAGTACATTACACCAACACATAAAATATCAAGAAAGTTTTAGATTGATAGGGATAACAACTAGCCTACCTGAAAAATACAAGGAGAGCTTCGACGTTTCGAGCGAAGGCCGTTCGTCAGGTATAGTTGTATCCCTATAAGCTAAGCTATATCGATCAGAATCTGTAGCTTTCTTATAGCAAACATGCCTATAAAACTATAAGCCTGCAGTACGTAAATGCCAAGTGACTGCATGGTAGGTTTAGAATTTCGTATAGAATATAGAATATAGACTAGAGACAGTATAGTATAGTATAGACTATAGTATAGTATAGCATAGAAATATATGTTTTTAACAGTAAATCAAGTGAAGAGGTAATCTTTTTCAATGACAATGTCGCGTATTTGTAATGTCAATGAAAAGTGTTCAAAACCTATTAAAAGTCTTTTTGGAATTCCTATCAAAATTACTTTGTTTTAGCTTTATTTTGTAGTTTATATACACAGTTATGTAGCTATACCCTCTTAAATGTATCTGGCGGTTGAGAAACACAAAATAATAGTTAAATATTGTCAATTTATATACAATTATCACATTGATGCTGTAAAATTGACACCGTATTGGCGTATTTAATAGGCTGAGTTCTTGGTGACAAAACGTTTGGTGTGGTGTCGTATATACTAATAGGGGTGTCGTACTTTTCCACCCCTTTCAACGTGTCTTCCAATGACAATGCCTCGCTGTTTAGGAATGCTCGGACTTGTTGGAACAATCTTGAAACAAGCCTGATAAGATCAACACGGTCACAGGGCATTTTTAACATATAGACTGGGGCCATGCAACCCCCATGTTGGCCTCCTCCCCCAGTTAACTATTTTGGACACCCAAGTCAAAATCATATTTTGAAAAGATATTGAGAAAAATTTTAAAATGAGGAATAATTTAGTTCAAAGAATGTATTAGCAGTTATTCTCATTCAGTTTAGTGTATTTTCCAGTTTACGAAAACTACTGGGAAAAAAAATTTGATATTACATTGCGTTTATAATGGACATTAGTTCCTTTCAGCTCACATATTGACGCACATGTTGTACATTTAATGCCGTTTTGATACTACTTTTGGTAAATAAAGTTTGTGTAGCTCTTTCGTGCGTTTTCCTTATTTTTATCTGAACATCATGAACATCAGAAGAAATGAAAAATGCAGGAAATAGCGTTTCCAGACTACAGATTTCAAAAATGTTCCGGGGGACATGCCCGTAAACCCCCCACCCCTAGGCACGCGTGGCCACGAACGGCATATATCCAACTTCGCTCCGCCGGTGGGAGGTCGCTTGTTGCCAATGCCCCCCCCCCCCTCGAAAATCCTTAAAAAATGCCCGTCAAGGTTGTCACAACTGTTAAAAAATTGTTCCATATTTGTTGACAACTTGGGACAAGCAGTGCGAGCACAACGTATTGACGGCTCGTTGACAGAGTTGCTAATTGTTGTGAGATTTTTGCGTGTGTATAACAAATTCCCAAACTTCCGCTATAGAACCAGCAGTTTCAAGATGTACAATCAGGGATCGGATCAAGAGAAGATTGACATAAGCTCTGGAATTGCTCCAACGTCCCCACCTGGACACCCCGCACTCCAACAACAGCCAAATGAGGGTGGCTTCTACCCCCCTCCACAGCCAAGTGGAGGTGCCTACCCCCCTCCACAGCCAAATGGGGGTGCCTACCCCCTTCCAGGTGCCTACCCCTCATTTCCCGTCCAGCAACAACCAACAAACACCGTGCACAACACGAATACAACAGTTGTAATACAACAGCAACCTGCAGCGGTGATTGTCCAAGGACCACGAGGATGGAGCACTGGAATGTGTGCTTGTTTTGACGACTGTGGAGTTTGTAAGTCAGGGGGGGAGAGGGACGGGTCAAAGGGGGAAATGTCCGGGAACTATGAACTATCAAAGGACCAAACAAAATTGGATCATAGTAGAAGTGCTACGTCTGTTCTTCCGTTCCTCCAGTGAAAATTTCCCGGCCCATCTTGCAACCATTCCCCCGTTACGTCTTCTCTTCCAGTGCTGAGGTGAATTAATGTTAGAAAGAGTAAAATTGTCTGGTGTTAGACAGAGTAAAATAATCTGGCATTAGACAGTAAAATTATAAAGTAGGGCGCATTGCGGTGGGGCGTAATGCGACTCAATGGGTTAATCACATGATACAGGTGGGAAATTTGAAATGCTTCAGAACCATTCTCATAACTGCATCATCTGCTTCATAAAGCTAAGTGCTAAGTGCAACTTGCTACACCAACAACCCCAATCTTCTACATAATGTCGTAGTAGTCGTACTAGTTTCCATAAGTTCGATTTTGTTTTTTAGGTCTTCTTGGCCTGTGCTGCCCGTGCATTCTTCTATGCACCGTGAGTAGTAATGCTGGCGAGTGTTGTTGTGTCGCAGCCTTGTGTCCAATTGCCCTGAGAACCAAGATCAGGACAAGACATAACATTGCGGTAAGTGATGGCTCTTTCTCGTCTCTAGCAATCTCGTACCCTCAGGTGCTTTGAATTGCTATGTGTTGCGTCACACCAACAACGGCGTGGCACGCTAAAGCACCTGGGTATATGAGGCTGAGTCCTCTAGACAGAGCAGTTTCGAACTGATATAGCTATGTAGTATAAATAAAACTGGTTTAGGTCTCCACCTGTAGTCTGGTTACATTTAAACCAGTAAGAGAGATGGGCCGTTCTAGTGCTCTAGGGACAACGGTTTAGATCCAGTATAAATATAGTTAGTTAATTATTTCATTGTTTATTACGACAGGGAAGTATTGTGGATGACTATTATGCACTGCAATGCTGTGGGATCTGTGCAATGTGTCAAATGGCAAGAGAACTCAACCTCCATGGAATTTAACCATCAAATATAAACGACAAACTTTTTATCTTTTAAAATTTTTTGTAATGGAACATTAAGTATTTTTTAGAATCCAAAATGGTAATGTTGATAATTTGTTGTTCCCATATCAAATGGTAAAACCAATAAACAAATATGTATCGGTCGAATTTATTTGCCAGAGACTTGTTGTTTTGTTTCTCTGTATTCAAGCAACTTTTCAGAAGCTTTGCAGAACACCGTTTTGAAATATTTGTATAATGTTCTAAAACTATTAAAAGCTTTATATAATAGAATGTTTGTTTGTTTGTTACATTGTAGCATGGGACGTTTGTGACATTTTGACTTTTCAACATTTTCAGACAGCCATTTTTCCAGTTGATTCTCGGCAATGTAGAGGGCAGAGATGTTGGCCATCAATTTTACACACGTAAAAACGCACAACTGTTGTAACAAAGCTACAGCAGACTTGTAGTAATGTTGTTCCAACAACTTGTCAACAGGATGTGTTCGCACTGCTTGTTTCCCAGCTTGTTGACAAGTTGTCAACGACTTGTTGATAACTTGTTACAAGGTTGTTGAGCTCAACAGACTTGTTACAAGTTGTTTCAACAGACTTGTTACAAGTTGTTTCAACAACTTGTGATCGTCATGCAATTCAACAGTTTGTCAACAAGTTGTGAGTGACAACCTTCGGAGAGCGAGTCATATGCGGAGGCCCTGAATTTTGCACAACTACCAACTTTAACCACAAGAAGAGTGCAAATATGTCAGAAATACATGGTCAGAATGAGGCGAGAAAACCATCCCTTATTGCCAATCCCTGTTGTTCCTGACCATGACATTAATTTGAGACAGAACACTGATCGATTTTATCTATTTAATAATGTTACTGATTGCAGAACAATTAAAGCTCAATCCTTTTTTACATTTAAATACTCTTAATATGTTGTCCCTGACCATGACATTAATTTGAGACAGAACACTGATCGATTTTATCTATTTAATAATGTTACTGATTGCAGAAAAATTAAAGCTCAATCCTTTTTTACATTTAAATACTCTTAATATGTTAAGATTTTTTTTTTAATATATATGAAAATTGTAAATAATTATGCATGCACTATTTACTATTTTGGTAAATGCCTAATGATTTTAACTCTTGTAAATAGCCTAGATTCTAAAACATATCCATGTACTATTTTATAGCATATTCTTATCTATTGTAAAGTACTCATTAATTCAGTTGTTTCTGTAACTGCAAGAGAGTCCTAATAAACTATTATTATTACTATAACTTGATAAAATAACAGCATTGCCATTGTTACAACTTGTTGACAAGCTTGCTACAAGGCTGTTTCGAACACATCTTGTTGACGGGTTGTGAGATTTTTACATGTGTACCCATAGGCAGCCCACTAAACGGCTGAATTTAAGTTAAAACTGCAGTGAAATTATAAATTTAACGAAAATAATCACAAATTTAGCGAAATATATTCAGTGTGAAATGTAGCTTATCAGATTATTAAAATCTCAACCCGATTGCACTATCGGGGAACTGACGTATAGTTCTTATAAAGTATGCCAACCTTAGGTATACTTTATATGAACTATACGTCAGTTCGCCGATAGTGCAATCGGGTTATGATTTCAATAACATAAGCTACATTCCGCAATATATTTCGCTAAATTTGTGATTATTTTCGTTAAATTTATAATTTCACTGCAGTTTTAATTTAAATTCAGCCGTTTAGTGGGCTGCCTATGGTGTATCCGCGCAAGCTAGGTACAAATGTTATGTACATAATACAAATTAGAATGCTCCGAGCCTATCGAGCTCGGCGCCGAGCTATTTAGAATGCCCCTCCGAGCCTATCGATATTTCGAACTAGGCTCCGAGCTTTTTAGACTAGGCTCCGAGCTAGGCTTGATATTTTGAGCTAGGGCTATTTAGACTAGGGAAATTGCTAGATAGTATACTTCAAAATAAGGTTTCCGTTTTAAAATATCAATTTTTTAAATAAGTTAGGGTTAGGTTAGAGTTGGGGTTAGGGCTAGGGTTAAGGTTAGTATTAGGGTTAGGGTTTAGTTTTGCGTTAGCATGGTTTTTTCTACGTTATAAAAACGGAAACCTTATTTTGAAGTATACTATCTAGCAATTACCTTTAGACTAGGCTTGAATCAAATAAATTACGCACAGATTGCCCAAAAATGCCGAACTCTGGAAATTTTTGCCCACAAAGCCAGGCGCCCGATTTTAAGGTCTACGCCTGCGTAATAAATAGGCCCTATCTATCCGCCATAGGTGGCAAGGTGTTTGAACTATTTGAACTAGACACAAGAAATCTTATCCGTAGTATTTAAAAGAAACTAGCTAGCCCTAGAAACAACATCAACATAAACAAGGATAATTTTACTAACCTGTCTGTAACGTTTTGTACCGACCCGTAACTCGGCACACACTCACACTCACACACAAGTAAAAAATGATATAATAAATAAGAACAAAGTAAAATAAAATACAAAATTTCGACTAAACTCTCTCGTCTCAAACGTTTGTTGTTCGTATTCGCTCATATGTTTTCGTGTCCTTTTTCCCCTCCCCCCGGTACTGTCAATCATCTCGCCCGCGAATAGGCGGGATACCTAAATTTGGGTCACACTCCCCTTAAAATTACGTGTAACTTAATTTTAACTCAACGAAATGTAGAATGAAATAGTTTCTCCAGTCAGTCCTCATCAGCAAGCCAGTGTCGAATTCTTTCCTTTGCTTTCTCTGCTGCACGCCTTGGTGGTCTCTCCTGTTTCTCCTCAACTTCTGGCGTTGGTGCTTTCGGCTCTTCTACTTCGCTGCTACGTATCTCTAGAGGGCAAACTAATTGAATAGGTCGCTCAATCTCGTGGCCCTTATGCCGAAGTACAACTCCTCGCACAACTCCGTCCTTTCCCAATATAAGTCCAATACTTTGCCTTTCTTCCAAAGCACACGGTTCTTTTCTTCCCCGAGTACTAATACGATCTCCCCGACTTTCGGCAGTTGTCCGTCACCTTTGACTATGCGATGAGATTCCATAAGGCTGTGTATGTATTCTTTGTGCCAACGGTTCCATGCGTGTTGTCTGGCGGCGTTGAGACGTCTCTGCATCTTCGTAACTTCACTTTCGTCTTGTTCTCGGTCTTCCAAAATATGTGAATCGTCGCCCCATAAAATGGTGTTGGGTGTCAGGACTTGAGGCTCCCCTCCGTCACTTTCGATGTAGGTTAGTGGGCGGTTGTTTAAATGGCGTTCATTGTCCATTACTACTGCGATAAGTTGATCTAACGTAAGATGGGTCTTGCCTAGTGTCTTATACAACGTCTTCTTCACTTCCTTTATTAGCCTTTCGTACATCCCTCCCCACCAAGGGGATTTTGCTAAATTGAATTGCCATGTTATTCTTTGTTTCGCCAAGAAATCTTGTAGTGCTTCGCTTTTCCGGATCTTTTTTATCCACTGGGCTGTAGCTTTAAAGACTGCTGCGTTGTCCGATATGATGCGTTGTGGTCTCGTCTTCCGACATATGAAGGCGTTTAACTTGTCTTGGAATTCTTCCGCGGTCTGTGACTTCGTGACTTCCAAATGAACAGCTCGCGTGACTGAACAGGTGAAAATAAGAATAGATGCTTTGCCTTCTTTATTCTTGTTGACTTTGTAAACCAGCGGCCCGGCGAAATCGACACCCGTGGTTTGAAAGGGCTTGCTCGCTTCCGTGCGAAACTGTGGTAGAGGTGATGTGTCTGTCTTACCGTATGGCTTTGTTGAGAAAACTTTACAGGTATGGCAACAATTTATTGTTTCTTTACTAATGATCTCAACCGAGGAACCCACCATTCCTCTCGAATAACACCCATGGTACTAGCAATTCCCAAATGCAATGTCTGTTCGTGAATATGGCGAATCAGTTTTTCAACAAACAATCCGTTTTCTAGGTAAATTGGTGAATAACCTTGAATCCTTCCAACACATTTCAGGATCTTCGTTTCCTCGTCTTTCTCCAGCCTCCAACCGCTACTCTCTGTGTCTTCTGGAATGTGTCCTTGTACTTTCCTTATCCAGACGTCTCTGGAGTGTGTTATCTCGTTCGTAGTTAACGGGCCCTTTATTATTTCTGTCCCCATCTTTTTTGCTCGACTGTTATGGACAAATCGTAATGCCCAAGCGGTAATTCTTAGAGTGTTTCAATAAGGTTTACGCCTTAGCAAGAGATCCCACTCGTCTTGTTGGTTTTCATTGACGAATGCAACTATTTCCTTGATTGGTTTCGCTTCATCTGTCACCGAGGACGAGCGATGCAACGTCGGCTGGGAAGGCCAATCATGTTCGTTCAGCAGCCACTCCGGACCGTCGAACCAATCTTTGTTCTCCATTTGGTTGAGCGTAGCTCCTCGGCTTCCCGCGTCTGCAACATTCTTCTCTGACGGCACATACTTCCATTGAATCCCGATTTCCTCCGTTATTTCCGCGATCTTTTTCACCCTGTTTGCGACAAACACCTTCCATGATTTTCCAGGGCTTGAAATCCAGTAGAGAGCGACCAGGCTGTCCATCCAGATGGTAACTGATCTGACGGGCAGTCTCTTCAGAGCATTAACAAGATTCCTCGCTAAATTTGCTGCCATCTGACCACTTACTAGCTCCAAGCGTGCGATGGATGTGTTACGCTTACAGATTCGAGATTTTGATGTTAGAAACCCTTTCACTGTTCCCGTATCGTGTTCGACAACAGCAATGGTCATTGCAGAGCAAGCCAAATTGCTCGCGTCAGCAAAGAGATGTAAGTGAACAGCCTTCACTTTCCTGCATCCTCGAATCACGCTCCTCGGTATTCGTACGTTGCGAAGTTGTCTAGTCCATTTTAACCAATCCTTGGCTAGCACCGTAGATACTTCTGAATCCCAGTTTTGATTTTCATCACATGCTTCGCGATAGATGTGTTTACCTTCCACAACTGTTGGGGATATAATTCCGAGCGGATGGTAAATACCAGCCAAATGACTCAAAATAGATTTCTTTGTAATTCGCTGTCCGTTATCTCGTTCAGGAACTTGGATCTCTAATACGTCATCTTGTTTATGCCATGTCAAACCCAGTATCTTTCCAGGATCGGGCATGTCCGCACTCTCTAGCGAATGAACATTTGACTCCCACTTATGAACAGGAAACTTCCCCTCCTCCATGATGGTTGTAGCTTCGTGCTTAAATT